AATGTGGACCCCGTGGGATGGCGTTTGAGAAATCTTACGTAATTTTTTTTTTTTTTTTTCCCATATGGCTTTATTGGAAAGATCAATCCAAACATATAAAACAGCTCAAATATCACAAAAGAACAATGATAAATAGTAAAAAAGAAAGCCTGAAAGGTTTCAGATTTTAAATTATGACCAAAGGGGCTTTTTTTTAACATTTTGTGTGTTACCTTTATTTATTAAAATATCATGTTCTTCGCACCATAAAATTCAGTTCAAGAGCAATATCGCAAAATAATTTTAAATTGAGCCTATCTTTAGAATTTCCGATACACAGTCTCGCGCGCTGGAGATAAAAATGTTTTTTCTATACAACGTAGCCATTGCTCACTTTGAAACAAATGAGTTTGTAAATCGAAAATTCGTTACAAAGTTTTACAAAATATGAAATCGATAATAAAACAAATTCCACTTTAGGGCTTCCAGATGCCCATATTCGGTGAAAGATTACGTTATTCAAAAATTGGATGGCTATAAGTACCGTTGTTTTATCACAATGGGAGAAACATACATACAGTGATTCAGATTCCTCATTATTTAATTTCTTGAAATATAAACATATGGTGATAATATTCGGTGGCAACAGTTTGAAAAGTGAAACGGACATTCAGAGTGATTCGACGCAAAATCGCAAAACGAAAACAATAGTCCCTCAGGGACAAAGCTCTTTTGGACTAAAAATCTTACGTAAGTATGGTGTATTGATGTATGGAGAATACGGCTAAGCACACGAGGGCTATCTACCTAAGAGGAGGGATGCCTTCGTGGAAGACTTTTTAAGGGAAACTGGCTCGTATACACGTTACACATGGGGAAAACCACGATAACGCCCATGCAGCCAGCCCGTTCGCGGGATTTGAACCTCGGACCGAAGTACCAGTGTTCAGCGATTTTACCGCTCGGCCGCTGGTGGGTCCTTACGTAAGTAATAGCCTTCTTATTGTTTCGTAGGTTAAGTGTTCTATGTTTCATTACGATCGGAATAAAATGTTTGATTTGTATTCATTCTCTTGTTATTTACACAAATGCAACAATTTTACTGCCAAGGTATACCACAATTGTTTGTAATCAATCATTCATTTTCAATTATGTACTCACATATTTGAATTAGTGTTGTCTTAAGGGTTCTCTAGATCATGGTGGACGTGGTGCTATACTAATTAACCGTATGGTAGAGGCATAGTGCCCGCTTCCCCGTTCCTTATCCTTATCCTTATAAGACCAACTTAGAGGCACTCTTTTTTAGTCATATATAGATTAAGTTCACAAAGGGCGATTTTCAATTTTCAGAAAATTCATTTTAAATGTCGTTAAATTTCAACAAAGCTTCTGCGGTGGCCACTTTAATGTTGAAACACCGAAGTGACCTAGTTGTGTACGCTTGAACAACATGCTCTGCAGTTTCAAATACCTCAATAATAATACGGAGCAACTCTCGAGTTACTACTGTAATCGTCATGCGTGCGGGTGTAATATTTGCTGGTAATTAATCTCTGGGTACATATCGGAGCAATGGTTCTGTGCGTTTACAAGATATGCCTCTGACTAAATGAGAATTCACTGTGGAATGACTACTATTTTGGCGCGCGGAATGCGGCTTAATGTTTAAAGGGTACTTAAATGGAAAATTGGTTAAAACTGGCAATTCGTGGAAAACCTCCAATTAATATTCCATTTTCGTTTTCGTTTTAAAAACGTACAGACGCCACGAAAAAAATCTGTACTGAATCCATTTTAAATCAGTTTTATAATTCGTTTGGTGAAAGAGAGTCTTTTGTTCTGTACGTATGTCACATCATTAAATTGCATCCGATAGCGGTCAAAATGGATATTTTAGTTGAAATATGATACCCAGAATTTTTCGTCATAACAATACTTCCTTTACTTCAAGGAAGTAGAATATACATTATGCTAATGCTTAGTGGCTGCATTTGAGAAGTGATACGTACACGAAAGTGATATGGACAACACAGTTACGGTTGAGAATAATAGCACTTTTGGTGCTAAATTCTTTATTGTGAAGTAAGTAAAACATACTATAAATCTTCATGGAATATAGAGAAAGCAAAATTAAATATCGTAATGAATTTAACTTAGATGTCTTGAGTGGCAATAAATTAACATAACGAGTTTCTGTTAAGGGGACTCATAAACCTTAAACCCCTTATGATCTTCGAATATGTGACTGTTGCAAGAATTGGAATATTTTATATTTTTTAAAGCAATTACTTCCAATTTTTTACAGATGACTACATAATATATCTGCTTTGGAAACTAGTAACCAGAAAGTTTGTGTTGCGACAAATATTTTTGTAATTTAATCCTCTTTGTGACAAAATATTTCGCCATGTTTCCACCTTGCGCGCATGATATTTTAAAAATGGCTAACGGTACATACTTGAAATTCGATGGAATTCTTTATATGGGCAATGTTTTCTAACTGAACCAACAATCTGATGAATATTTTAATAATGAAAAATTTTATGGACGAAAACATTACAAATATTGTTAATAAAATGCATTTTATAAACTCAACTCCAAATCAAATATAAATTTAACATGAAATTTTTAGAATTTTAGGTTCAGAGTAGTTTCTAAATGTTATAAAAGCTATATATTAAATATGGAATTAAATTATGAAACAGAATGTTTTAAACTGTGCGCGCAAGTTGGAAACATGACGAAAAATGTTGTCACAAAAGCGGATTAAATTATAAAATATTTGTGGCAACACAAACTTTCTGATGACTATTTCAGAAAGCAGCTATATTATGTAGTCATCTGTAAAAAGTTGGTAGTAATTGCTTTTAAAATAAATAAGTTAGCCCAATTCTTGCAACAGTCACTTATTCGAACATCTTGTGGGTTTTAAGGTGTATGAGTCCCCTTAAAGAAGGATGTTCAGTGAAATAGTAACTCGAAGAGGCAAGGGAAGTGACGTCTCAGAAGGCGCGCTGACGTCCCAGTAGGCGCGCTGCTTCGAGTTCAATTACACGAAGAGCGCTTTGCTAAAGAAGGAAAGAAGATTTTCGCAAAAGAATTTGTATAATTAAAAATGGAATTTCTAATTATATCGAAAGCCGCAGCTAATGCATTCCATTCGACTTTTAGGCGTATAAGTGACTAAGTACCTCGAAGCAAATAACACAGAATTCGATTAAAATATTAAGTAAACAAAAAGAATGTGCCATTCAAAGCCATAATTATGAAATGAAGTGGCTCCCGACTGCAGCAAAGTGTCAAATGTATTGGCAAAATGAATAAGTAAATAAATAGATAAATAGAGTTTTTTTTTAGCCCAGAAGGGCTATTAATTTCGTTTTGGCATTTTGCCTTGAAAACTTTAAATGTCAGTTCTTTTTTCAAACTGTTGCCACCAAATATTACAGCCCTGCATTATATTTAAAGAAATTAAAAAATGAAGCCCTTGCATAAATGTATGTATGTTTCGGGCATTGTGATAAAACGACGATACCTAGAGCCATCAAGTTTTGAATAAAGTACGTTTTCACCCGAATATGGACATTTAGAAGCTGAAATTTGGAATATTTCATATTTATTAAAGTTTTAACGAATTTTTGATTAACAAACTCAACGATTTCAAACCGGGCAATGGCAACACTGTGAAGGGAAAAAAACAATTTTATCTCCAACGCGCGAGACTCTGTATCGGAATTTCTAAAGATATGCTCATTTTAAAATTATTTTGCGATATTTCTGTCGAACTGAATTTTATGCTTTGAGTACGAAGAACATGATATTTAATAAAATAAAGGTAACCCACAAAACGTTAAAAAAATGCCCCATTGGGCGTAATGTAAAATCTGAAAGCTTTCAGATTTATTTATTTTTATGAAATAAGCTTTCATTTTGAAGCTGATAAAATAGTTCATGAACAAAAAGAAACAAAAGTAACTTATCCAATAAATTACTGGGAACGAGACATGAACTAATTCTATTTACAAAATTCAATTACGAGTACAATGTAATATCACGAATAACAAGAAGCGAAGGTGGCAAAATAATAAATCCTAATAATAAAATTACATTTTGAAATATACGACTTTCTTACACTTATCAACTGTGTTTTTATTACTCGTGATATAAAACTGTAAATGAATTTTCTGAAGAGAATTAATTATTTAATCTCTTGCTCCCATTAAAATATATGATAAATTATTTTTCTACCTTTAATTCACTAATTTTTTTACAAGCTTCAAATAAAGTCCTATTTTTTGCAAAAACGTTTATTCCATCTGTTTTCCGTCATCATCCTTTAAACATCAATAATAAAAAAATTACTAAAATCCTTCAAGGCAGCTAGAATGCACTTGTAAATTAAGTACTTCACTGTCATCATTCACTTAAATTAAAAAACGTATAATAAAAGAGACTATTATTTAAGAGTAAATTAATTTTAATCAACGGAAATATAAAATTTAATTTGCGGAAAATTAAATATTTTATTTTGAACATTTTTATGTTTGAATTTATTCATTAAAATTGAAAGATAAATGTTTTCCATTTTCCCCGAATGGCAACAGTCTGGCGCACGCGAGACAAAAATATTTTACTTCGAACAGTGTTACTACTTCTCTCTTTCTAATCTCTGAGCTTGCAAATAAAAAATTATTAAACTGGTACAAAATATGAAACAAACCAAAAACAAATTTGAAATTTAAAATTCGTGCTTCAAGGTGCACGTGCTCATATGGAGAATTAAGTGTCAAAAATGGCCTCAACACACACACAAGAAAAGGGAGTCTTGTTTCCTCAAACATCCAATCAATATTATTGGAATTTGAATACATATGGCTTTAAAAAAAAAAAAAAAAAAGGCATTTTAAATTTACCGTAGGGAAATTTCGATAGAAAATAGACCTCCTCCTTTCCGGGGAGGGGAAGAATTTAACTATTTCCTCCCTTTTTGATTATGTCATGAATAATAGAAGCATTACCGTTTCGTCCGGAGCAGCCTCTTTCTGGGCACTTGGCTTAGAAGTCTTTTTTTCTGGGTGCTCTGGTAATTCTTCTATTTTTTCTTCAATCTGTTTAAAGAAAGAAACAAAAAAGAATGTAAACAAAAAGAAATCTTTAAAAAGCCATCAAGTAGTTTATCCGCTTCGATTAATCATTTTTTTCTTTGAACAAAAGCGATCTACCCCAAAAATGCTGCATCAAGCGGACAAAGAATTTATATGATAAAGTTACAGTACCATGCAAATATTTTAACAATGATAATAAAAAGGAAAATAAAAAAAAAAAAAAAATCTGAAAGCTTTCGGATTTTATATTACGCTCAAAAGGGAGTTTTATTAACGTTTTGCGTGTTACCTTTATTGATTAAATGTCATGTTCTGCGCACTTAAAACACAGAAAATTCAATTCAACAACAATATCCTGAAATATTTAAAAGAGAGTATCTTTAGAATTTCCAATACACAGTCTCGCGCGCTGGAGATAGAAATGTATTTTTCGTACAGTGTTGCCATTGCTGACTTTGCAATAGTGGAGTTTGTTAATCAAGCATTCGTTAACGTTTTACAAAATATAAAATGAATAATAAAACAAATTCAAAATTTGGGCTTCCGAGTGCCCATGTTCGGTTGGAAGACTACGTTATTCAAAATTGAATGGCTTCAGGTACCGTTTTATTTTCACCATGCAAGAAATATCCATGCATTTATGCAGATTCTTCATTATTTAGTTTCTTTAAATATAATACAGGGCGATAATATTTGGTGGCAACAGTTTGAAAAGTGAATCGACGTAAAATGCCATTTTGAAATTAATAGTCCTTCTGGGCTAATGCGTTTTGGCCTAAAAGCGAAAGACTAAAGATCTCAAAAAGGATTCAGAATTTAGTGTTAGGTTTGTTAAGATTTTTCATGCGGTCGGGAGATATTTCTAGTACTTTCTGCTTCTCGAAATTACTGGAAAGCCTTACGAGGGTGGAATTACGGATACAGCTAACATAGTAATAAGAACATAATATGTTCATTCAATTTTAATACATATGACGATGATATGGGGACTGGACCAAAATGTCTCAAAGTGAAGTCTAAATTTGCGACTTTTGGTGATTTATCGCCAAATTTGGAGACAAAAGAAGTCGCCAAAACCGTTGTCAGCTTGGCGATATCTCGTTAAATTACCGAGACGAAATTGTGTGAAATGACGTGGCCCTGTATTCTTACGTTTCCTGTGTAGCTTTGTCTTAAAATTTATCTCGCGCTACATTACATAGAAAATTACAACAATTTTACTTATAATTCTACTAAAATTACCTATCTAAGTACAAAATTCGTAAAACCTTCTATCATGGAAATCACGATGGGGACTTTGTTACGGATTTGGTATTTAAATAGCTTATGTTAGTTGAATTGTAAATTAAATGGTTTTATTTCCCGCGCAGTGCAGCGCGTGACGAATATTAAAAGAAAGCTAAGCCGGAAATTGAAAATACAAGAGCGCGTGCATTTAACATTTAATAAATATCTTTTTTTTTTTTTTTATTTCGAGAAAGTTCTCGCGCGCTATTAAATCTTTGAAAGGAAGGAAAACCTCTCAATTCGTCATCAATGATTTATCTAGTTTTGTGTTTTAAAGTTGGTTTAGAAACGCTCTTGTTGATTGTAGCGAATTCGCGGTTAGCTTTCTTAGCTGTTTTGAATTATTTATTAACGTTTGGTATTAAAATACTACTGTGATTTTTGATACTGACATTATTTGAGACATTTAATCTATTTGTTGTGATAATATAATTTTTCTTCATTTTTCGAACTTGTGCATTCATTTCGTAACGAACCCGTACGCACGCAACACTTATAGGCCAGAAACAGATCGAAAAAAATCTAAAATCTTTCAGATTTTACATTAAGTCCAAAGGAATTTTTTTAAACCTTTTTTTCGTGTTACCTTTTCTTATTAAATGTTCTTTGAACTTAAACCATAAAATTCAATTCAACAGCAATATAGAAAAATAATTTTAAAACAAGCTTATCTTATAGAACTTCCGATAGAAAGTCTCGCACCCTGGAGATAAAATTTTTTCTTTTTCCCACACAGTGTTGCCACTTCGAAATCGTCGAGTTTGTTAATAAAAACTTCGTTCAAGTGTGACAAAATATGAAATCGATAATAAAACAAATTTCAAATTCCAAATTAGGGCTTCTAGTTGCCCACATTCGGTGGAAGATTACGTTATTCAAAACTCGATGGCTCTAGGTACCGTTGTTTTATCGCAACGAGAGAAACATACATACATTTACGCATATTCTTCATTATTTTATTTCTTTAAATTTAATACAGGGTGTTAATATTTAGTGGCAACAATTTGAAAAATGACATAACGCTTGTAGTGAATCAACGCAAAATGGCAAAACGAAATTGAGCCCTTCTGGGCTAATGCCCTTTGGGCTAAAAAAACACTATTTACATTTTAAACGTAAGTTAAACGGCCTTGAAATCATTATAAAATTGCGTTAACATCCTCTGTACATACATCAAACGGATTCGCGGGCTTCATAAAATTGTTTGGGAGGCCGCATGTGGTCCGCAGGCTGGTAGTTTGAGGGCGTCTAGTATAAATATTTGATTTATCTAGCGGACTGCAGCTGGATATTTTCAACTGAAAGTAGAAATTACTACATTATATCATTGGCTTAATTCTAATCTTACCCCTTTCTCGCGCTATAATGAAGGATTGTTAAAGAGGCTCCAGGAAGTAGGTTGCCACAACACTGCCTCAGTTAATTGCAATAATTCGTTGTTATGTGCTTAGCGCTACCGTGCTGTCAAGTTATGAATTGTTTGCTCAGAAAATAAAAATATATGTCACGTGCGTGTTAATCGTTCACTAGAATTTTTATTACCGGTTCTCCCCCACGAGGAAACATTTTTAGCAGACTCAATTATGATACTTTCAAGAAAAGACACACACAGACGCACAAAATCATTTACAAAAACCTGGACTACTAAATAAATTTGCAACTTATTGCACTACTTATCAGGGAGCTTGAAATTAGTAATTTTTAATTCCAGCTCACGCGAAAAATGCGTGGTGTTTAAAAAGATTTTCGACGACCATAAAACTAGTTTCGTATTCGTGTTCCTGGTTTCTTTCTTTGTACTGTAAGACTTTCACTGTGTAAATCTCAGTTACTGTAGAAAGTGAAACGTCTTCGAAGTAGCAATAAGCGTAAGCTGCAAAAACAAGATTGAAGTAACTAACCCGTTATTATTCAATAAGAATAGACAAAATGAGGGATCACAACAACCACACGGCTTGCTTAAGATACTAAGAATTAAGCGGCTTTATGAAATCGGTTGTCATACGGGAGATTGAGCTAGCGGGCCAGAGGAGCGGTAACAGAGGAGAAGGGGGGCAGACTGCGCAGCTCGGCTCTCATCACTTGTAAGTAGTGGTTTAACTCACATAAATACTTTCTCGAATAAGCGCTTAATTCAGAAGATGTGGCGGATAGGGTTGGTCCTGCAGGGGCCGTTCGGGTGTGGAACCGTTAACTAGATACTTCACATATCGGAAAGCGCTGTGCGGTAAAAGGAAGTATATTGCGGGTAACCATTGCGATACAAAATTTCCGGATAGTCATTGTTTGGGGCACCAGAACAGCAAATAAGAGGTTGAGCTAATTAGTATTTATTCGGCGTGTTATTGTGTCTTAATTAAAGGAAGTATTGTCGTAAGGTATATTTTTAATTTATAAGTTATTTTAATTTAGTGAACCTTTCGTGTCTGATATGATTTCAACTTGCAACTCCCAGAACGAGATCTTAGAACCGCGTTGTATGCAAATGAGGAAGAAGTCGTATTAAAGAAAGGTTCAACTTACTTCGTGAGAGAGAGAGCTAGGAATCCTGGGACCAAGTCTCTCTAAATCTTGCGCGTTTAGGCTAAGTCTCTTTAACCTGCTGTTACGCTCGGCCGTATATTACGTGCCTTTTGATAGTTCGCCGGCTAGTTTACATTACGGGCCCAGTACGTGAGAATTGTGTTAGGTTTTACTAAATCTAAATATAATCAGTTTTTATTTCTAATTTTTGAGCCTATAAGGTATTTCTCCAGCTTCTTAGCATGCCTTCGTGGTGTAATGGTCAGCAAGCTCGGCGCATATTCGAGAGGTCCAAGGTTCGATGCTCGGGGAGGACGTTGCTCATTTTTCACCTCGCCCGCTTCCAAATAACCTAAAGTTTCTACAGTGGGCATGAACTAAAAAAATGTGGTGGATGATGATTCTCCACTTTCCAGTCCATTCCAGTAGCCCTTTAAAAGGGGGAGTATATAAGGTATTGCTTCCGCCTTCTTACCATGCCTTTATGGTGTAATGGTCAGCACGCTCGGCGCCTATTCGAAAGGTCCGAGTCCCGTCGAGGACACTGAACATTTTTCATGTCTCTTGCTTCGAAATAACTTAATGTCTCTAGAAGTTTAAGAAGCTATACATACCAGGATACCATACATATTCTTATTACTTTTAGGAAACATAAATGAGCGTTTAAAGAGTAAGTATTTAAGGGGACTCGTACACCTTAAAACCCATAAGATGTTGGAATAGGTGACTGTTGCAAGAATTGGGATAACTTATTTATTTAAAGCTACTACCAACTTTTTACGCTACTACATATTAGCGCTTTCGAATTCATCAGAAGTTTGTGTTGCCACAAATATTGTATAATTTATCACGCTTTGTGACAATTTTTCGTCATGTTCCAACTGCGCGCACAATTAAACATCTGTTACATAGTTATTCCATATTATATATAGCTTTTTAACATTGAAAATACTGTGACCTAAAATTCTAAAACTTCATTTATTTTTAATTTATTTTAGTAGTTTAAGATGTATTTTATATGTATTTATAAAACAATTTGATGTTTTTCCATAAATTTTTCGTATAAAATCTTCATCAGATTGTTGTCATTAGAAATAATGCCCAGATAAGAATTGGGTCAATTTCAAGTCTGTACCATTAGCCATTTTTAAATACATTCGCGCAGGTGAAACATGGCGAAATCTTTGTCACAAAGAGAATTAATTACAAAATATTTGTGGCAACAAAACTTCTGTTTACTATTTTCCAAGCACTATGTATGTAGTGACTTAAAGCGTGGAAGTAATTGCTTTTAAAATAAGTAAAATATCCTAATTCTTGCAATAGTCACATTTTCGAAGATCATGAGGGGTTTAAGGTGTATATGAGTCCCCTTAAAAAATTAGAAAGAAAAACTTGGGGCGTATAAAATAAAATTTTGATTTCACACATAAAAATTACTTATTTTAGAGTAAATTTGCAAAGTTATTATTATTTTAATTAACCCGTTTTTATGATTTAAACATTTACTGTACCGTCTCTTTCCCGTTTCCTCACCATAAATGTAAATGAGTCAGACAGCATTTAAGTCGAAGGTTTTGGATAGTAAGGCAGGCGTGTCGCTCAATTGGGATAGTGGTTAATACCTTTGACTGACGTACCGAAAGGCGCGGGTTCGAATTCCGGAGAAGGCATGGATGTTTGTAAATGTATTGTCTGCGAGGCATGGAGCAATCTAAATATGTGGCGAGCTGAAAGTTCTCTCGAGAGGTTGCTGGTAGAGGAAGAGGGGTGGGAGACCTTCGGACCGCTCTCTTTCAGAATTTGAGCGGAACTGAACAAAGTCGTATAGTCACCCGTATGGTACCCAAGGCTCTTGCCAACAACAGGAGCAAAGCTTGCCTTTTAGCCATAATAATTTCGTGGGCTTGCTCTGGTATCAAATTCTTCAGCTTTGCGTGTTTGCTGCTGACATTTAATTGTCTCGCCGGAGAGGATGATCTGAGCCAACTTAGAATTTAAAGTCAATTGCTTAGTCTTTCATTACTAGGATTAGTTTTAAATTAGAATTTGACTGTTACTTCAGTTAGAATTTGTTAGTTAATTTGACTGTTACTATAACATCGCCACGAGTCCTAAAGTTGTTACTGTCTTCGAGTTGATACTGTCAAACACAAGAAGTGCTTTTATTAGTCCAAAGGAGCTTTGTCACTGAAGGACTATTGTTTTCGTTTTGCGATTTTGCGTTGAATCACTATAAATGTCCGTTTCACTTTTCAAAGTGTTGGCACCAAATGTTAAGAGTCCTGCATTATATTTGAAGAAATTAAATAATGAAGTTTAATAATTTAACCGTTCCCATATCCATTTTGACTTTTTTGTGTGTGTGTTGCTTGACGTCTGTAAGCACGGGCAGCGTATTTTTTTGGCGTAGATCTTTTCGGGTGATTTTTTTTTCTTTTGTTAACGGCGAGAGCGAAAAACAAATTCGCGGAGAAATGTTTTACACTCCTGACGAAGAGGAACTTACGTTTGGTCATCCACAAAATCCGTTCAATTTTTCAAAATCTAACCTAAAGTAAGGTTGCTCTGTTGCGTAAGTAGTAAGGTGGTGGACTCTTTAAGTGGTCGAAAATCGAAAAACAATTTGTTGTCGACTTATATGTCAGCTTAGTTGGCTACATTTCCTCCCACTTGGCAATTTTTATAATCTTTTTTGACCTTATTTGTCATCTTTCTTTCAGTTAAAAATTATTTTTTAATACTTAATAATATTAACCATAATGTTGATCATAATAAGTTATGTATCATCCATGTTTTTGTATAAAAACTGGCGGGACTTTGACAGTATTTGACAGTACATGACAGGGTTTTCCTTATTTTACATAACAAATTTATTTTAAGGGAACTCATACACCTTAAAACCCATAAGATGTTCGAAGAGGTACATTGCAAGATTGGATACGCTATTTGTTTAAAAGCATTCTGCCAACTTTTACGCGATTCAGATGTCCTCTTTCTGATTAATCATAAAGTTTGTGTTTCCAGATATTTTATAATTAATCAGCTTTGTGAAACTTTTTTCGCGATTTTCAACTTGCGGACATTAAAACATCTGTTTCAGATTTAATTCCATAGTTAATATATAGCTTTTTAACATTGGAACTACGGAACCTAAATTCGAAAATTTCCGTTAATTTTCATTGATTTGAGTTGCGTTATAAAGGCTTTTATTAAAAACTTTTACTGTTTGCGTCATAAAATGTTCAGTATTAAATATTCATCAGATTGTTGGTTCATAGAAATAGGGTCCTTAGAAGTCCATCAATTCAAGTGTGTACCATTTGCCATTTTAAAATATGCTCGCAGTGAACATGGAAAAGTTTGTCACATAAGATTAGTTACAAAATATCTGTGGCGGCACAAACTTTCTGGTTACTCGTTTTCCAAAGCAGCTATAGTATGCATCCTTAAAAGTTGGAAGTAATTCTTTTAAAAAAAGGATATCCAGTGCTTGCAACCGTCACATTTCGAGATCATGAGGGGTTTAAGGTGTATGAGTCCCCTTGTGATACTTTACGACTTCTCATTCCCCTCACATTTCTCGCCAGGAGTATTTGTGAGTGCGTATTAAAAGGTGAAGCCTGAGTTATTTCAGAGCGTGTTTCGCTAGCCAAGCGCACGTTTCCTTGCTGCCAGTGAGCCTCTTGGCCATTTCGGATTATCATGACGCCTGTTATGTTTTTGTGAGTCAACCTGTTAGGCGTAACTTGCGTGCTATCGAGCCCTACTTATTTTAGATTTTTGACCCTGAATTATGTTCTACTATTCAGTTTCCCCGCATGTTCCACGGTGCCATTGTAAAAAGCACCTAACCCAGTGGGCCAGCTGTTCCGCCGATGGTGAAAAGAAAAAGAGGGGTGCCATTCATTGTAACGCACGAAGATCGTGCTCTTCTGTTAACTATTTTGAATTTAATAAAGAATACTTTCACCTTCTTCTGTGCTGGTATTTATTCACGCCCGTGCGAGAATTCGCCAGGCTTATTGAAGAATGTAATTTAGTTTATGTGGAATAAAAGAGACAAACCCTACAAAGTGTGATAAGAGTATCGGAATGTTGAATGTGGTTTTTGAATTGGAAATTTTTCTATCTTATTTGGCATTATCTTGTCTGTATTTCTACGCGGCCGCAACTGATTTGATTTTATATACTTGGAGTGTTTTGTTTTAACCATTATGTTTTGTATTGTAATACTCTCAGTTCAGTGTATTTTATGATATATTGTTCAGTTAGCAAGTTTCGTTCTAATTCTGAATTCATAGAGAAATTTATTGCCTTATTATTGTCCAGTTATCTTAGCATTTTTTTCAATGAATGTTCTTCTTGATTTGTGATCTAATTGATATTAATTGTGGTGCAGTCGTAATGGATGTTATTTTGTTTTACCATACTTTTTATTAATAGTTGGACTCATTTTGAAGTATTTCGATTTTCGGACAAATATGAAAGTTACTCTTTTATGTTTGAATGCTATAAGTACTACGTGTACATTATTTCTTTAGGGTATTAAGACTAGTTACTTATTCCTTGTTTTCTTGAGCCTGTTGCCACTGTAAACTTATTCTGCTTAGTTATAATAAATAGCTTCTGGAGGCCGAGGCTTTAATCCGTGTAAGGCAGACATCATCAGCTAGGTAATGGAGCCCCTGTTCTCTGGTTAACAGTATCGGAATGTTAACACTAAACACGAGCATCATCGAGTCAAATGAGTCTGCAGCAGCGACAATGGCTTCAAATTATTACAGTAATTTTCATTGCATAACATAATACATCTTCATAACAATTTTTTGCTTTATTTGAGGAAGATTATAAAAGTTGTCCATCTTACCTCTTCCTTGTGTTTGCCTTCTTTCACGTCGGGTTTGGCAGGAAGTACGCCATTATTTTTGAGGGATTTCCGTGTCTTATATCCGCGGAAGGAGGCCTGAATTTTCTCCGCCGCCTTCTCTTCGGACATCGGACCTGAAAAGAGAAAAATGCACATGCAATACTTCGAAAATAACGTATGCATTTAACGTATCTTATATAACTTAAGTGTTTGTCGCCGATAGTATATTGGTTGCTTGCGCAACTGTAAATTGTTTTATTCCCCGTGGAGTGCAGCGCGTCACGAATATTATGAGAAAGCTAAGGCGGAAAAATTAAAAATACAAGAGTACGTGCATTTAACATTTAAGAAATAAATTGAACATCTATATATAACAGAATTCGGAAATATGCAACCGGCAAAAACCGACAAAGATGAAAAAAAAAATAAAATGAAATAAATAAATTCTTTATGTGCGGCTTTAATGTCTTTTTTGTCGCCGAGAGTTTTTTTTTGCTTGCGTAACTGTAACTAGCCCGGGAGGTGAAGTTTCTACGGCACATGGTGGCCGTTTCAATTTCCTTTAACTGCTCGCCTTACATCAATAAACTCAGGGCAACGCTGAGCGTGTTGGCATTTTTTTTACTTGAGCCCTGCGTTTGCACACGGTCAACTGTATGTTCCTGTTCAAGAGTTCGTGAAAGAAAGGACGTAAATTAAAATAAGGGATGTCTTCTGCAAGTTGAGCATTAAATGACTGAAAGATCTACCGAGAAATGATGTGGTACAAATAGATCTTTGACAATGGGATTAAAATTTATTATTTAAATCACCTTTATTTATTGAGCTAAAGAGTGGTTCCTAAGAAAGGTGCCGCCAAGGGGTTTCCCTTCATGCACTCTACGTTAAGCAATAAGCCAGTGGAAGGGGAAACCCTGTCGGGCAGTAAGAAAAGGGAGTCTTCGCCGCCTGCCCTGGGTAATTCAGTTTAAATTAGCAGACATCTTTGCACAAATAATTTTAATTAGAATTTATAATATCTACAAGAGCGGTCATTTCGTATGACCGCCAGGCTTTCTAGTATTTATATATATACGCATAAGAAAGATGCGTTGCTTTGCGAAATGTGATTAATATTTACAGATTGCAGCTTCAATCTCTCCCCCGCCCAGACAACGCCAATCCTATCATCTTGAAAATCAAAAACTGTTTACAGACTTTGAATGGGTATTTAGATGTAAAACTGCACTGGGTCAAAACTGATGTGGGGCATATTAGAAACGAGAGGGTCAACTGTGTGGCCAAGGATGCAGCCTCCAATATGCATCTCCCCTTTATTCAAATTTCAGGATATAAACGGATGGCTATTACACACTATGAAGAAAGTCTACATTCACAAACGGAAAATCCTATGAGAAAATTCACCAAAAAATAAAGGATACATGAAAATTATCAGAATTTCTAACAAAATGCCTGATTTAACATACTGAATTTACACTAATTCTTACAACCCACCCGGAGAGGCGCTATTATTTTAAGGGGACTCATCACCTTACCCCTCATGATCTCGAATATTGCTTGCAAGAATGGGATATTTATTTATTTTAAAGCAATACTTCCAACTTTTACAGCTGACTGCATATATGCTCTTGGAAACTATACCCAAAGTTGTGGCACAATATTTTGTAATTTATATTCTCTTGTGACAAAATTTCGCCATGTTTCCACCTTGCGCGCATGATTTTTAAATGGCTATGTACCCACTTGAAATTAGATGGAATTCTTATATGGGCCATTTTCTAACGGAACCACAATCGATGATATTTAATAGGAAAATTTAAGCCGAAACATTAAAATTTTTTAAAAATGCATTTATAACGCAACTTAAATAAATGAAATTTAACGTGAATTGTAGAATTTAGGTTCCGTAGTTTCTAATGTTATAAACTATATATTAATATGGAATTAATTATGCACGATGTCTAAACGTGCTCGCAGTTGAACAGACGAAAATTGTCACAGCGATTAATTCTAAAACTTTTGGCAACGCAACTTTCTGATGACTATTGAAGCACTATTCTTCATCACTGTAAAAGTTGGGAGTTTTGCTTTAAAAAATAGTTAACCCATTCTTGCACGTCACCTATTCGACATCTAATGGTTTTAGGTGGATGAGTCCCCTTACCACTTTTACAGCGACTAATAGTTTCTTGCAACAGTCACCTATTCGAACATCTTATGGGTTTTAAGGTGTATGAGTCCCCTTAAGAGACTCAACTTACAAAATAATGAACTTTGTGGTTCTTGTAATGCCATTGGAGACGCGAAACATTTTGTGGAGGACCGTCCTATTTTCGCCGATCAAGAGGAAGCTTTACAAAATTGATAATGCTATATATATTGATAATTTTGATATCAAGGCTTTTATATCATTTGCACAAGATGTCCTAAAACTTATTAATGCAAATCGAGGTGTAATTGGAATCCTGATCTGATGTTGTCCTTTGTGTTAATTTTTGTTTGTGTGTTCGTGAGTGCTTGCTATATGTTTTTTCCTATTTTTATTTTATATTTGAGTATTATTTGTATCTTATTTATATTTTGTATTATGTATTATTTATTTTGTATCTGATGTTTTTTTTGGGGTCAAGTTATTTTACATAGCGACTTAGTGGCAGGAGGGCCTATTTACTCCCAAGTCTTAATGTATAAACCATAAGGTTTTCCCCACTTCCTACGTGCATTCGTGGTGTAGGGGTTTCTGCACGCTGGCCGGTATTCCGGAGGTCCTGGTTCGATTCCCCGAGCCTTGCTAATATTTTCATCTTCTGGCTTTCAAAAGTCCTAATGTCTCGCATAAGTAAGAAAATTTGAAAGATTTCCGATTTCAACATCACACCAGAGGACAGGTTATTGCTTTTTATGCTTTCGCAGAACCAGCAATTACAATCACTTGTAGAGACTTGGGATTTGGAGCAGAAAGATAAAATGAGCGACCTGCGCGGAACCGACGTGGACCTCTGGAATACGCACCCAGCGTGCAGACTACCCCACCATGAAGGATGCGAAGAAGGCGGGAGAAATACCTTATATACTCCCCCTTTTAAAGGACGACTGGGGTTATAGGGGATCCAATCGCCAAATCCTGGGTGAGGAGAATCATCATCCAACATTCTTTCAGTTCGGGCGCCAGTGTAGAGACATTAGGTTAATTGGAAGCAGAAAAGATGAAAAATATGCAACCGCCTTCACCGGGAATCGAACCGCGGACCTCTGGAATACCGGCCCATCGTGCAGAATCACTTTACCACGAAGGCACGCTAGAAGGCGGGAGAAATACCTTATATACCCCCTTTCTAAAGGGTGCTAGGGTTTTAGGACCTAATCGCCAAACCCTGGGTGCGGAGAATCATCATCCACACCCTTTTTAGTTCGGGGCGCCCTTGTAGTCATTGTCATAGTTTATTTTTAGGTATTTTTGGAAGCCGGAGAGATGAAAAATTAGCACACTTTCGCCGGGGATCGAACCCCGGACCTCTGGAATACGCGCCCAACGTGCAGACCACCACACCACGAAGGTTTGCGAAGAAGGCGGGAAAAATACCTTATAAGCTCTAAACAGAACAAAGAGCTTTTGTGTTTCTATCCTTCAGTGGAATGCTGGAGGATTATCTCGCGCGAAGTTTTCAGAAATTAAGAAGGTAGTCATTGAGGAGTCATTAATGATTTACAGTAAGTAAAGCTCAATCTCCGAGCAAACTCTCTAAAGGCAAAGATCATTCCAATTCTAAACCCAGGAAAACCATCTGAAGATATAGAATCGATGCTTTTTCACTGCGAAAAATCATACATACAAGTACATTTATGCAGATTCATCGCAATTTAATCTCTTTAACTCTAAACGCCGTTTATGCTGAAACGCCACAAAATGGTGAAACGAAATTAATGATAGTCCTACTGAGCTAACGCTGTTTGGGAAAAAAGAAAATTACCCGAAAAATAAAAATTACTAGAATTAAAGCGGGGTTGTATACAATATCAGTAGAGGAGTAAATCGGGGTAGAGAAAAATGTTACAAACAAGCACGAAAACAGAACTGATTTAATGGCAAGCATTGCAAATTGGCAATTCATTCAGTAATTAAGATAAAATAACACACCAAACAAGTATTAATTTAGAATTCAAACAACAAAAATCAGTGTTATATTTGCAAACTTTCACCGTGAATATTTGCAAATGTAACGCTGATTTTTGTTGTTTGAATTCTAAATTAATTCATTCAGTATTGTTGTAAATATTTGTAAATATTCAAATCTTTTTTGATCGCATTTTTTTCCTATATTTTTGAAGCAATGTGTATTGTTTTATTTATTTCTTTATTTGTTGCATTTAGGATGACACCCTATGTTTGTTTAATATGATTTGTGGCCACATGGTTTTGATATTTAAGTGTTTATTTCATAAACAAAATTATAGTTACTTCAATTCTGAGTGCAATAACGTTTGAATCGTAAACGTAGCTCAGATGCGAACAAATTCGTTCCTGACAGCCTTGGCGACTGTCACCAAGATGGTGATTTTCTAGAATTCGGGAAAACGCATTTTTGAAACGCACCGATTCCTTTTTCCGTATGGTTCCATGGCCCACCAGCGGCCGAGCGGTAAAGTCGCTGAAAACTGGTAGTTCGGTCCGAGGTTCGAATCCCGCGAACCGGCTGGCTGCATGGGTGTTTTCGTGGTTTTCCCCATGTGTATACGAGCCAGTTTCCCTTAGAAAGTCCTCCACGAAGGCATCCTTCCTCTTAGGCAGATAGCCCTAGTGTGCTTTGCCATAATTAAATACACACACACCGGATGGTTCCAGATAACCTGCTACAGTATATAAATACGAGTTTGAAAGCTAGGGAGTTCAGTTCTTAGTCAGCTGGAAGGTCTGCCCTGTGTGCGATTCGACGAAATTACGATACATTAAGGTGGAATGGCTTAATATCCGAGTGCACATGCTCCTGAGGTTTACAACAAAAACTTATCTCAATTCATAGTACCATTTATTTGAGAAACAATCCTCGAAATAAAAACACTAAAACAGTAGATTTTCTCTTTAGCTGTCCGATTCCGAGTTATTTGGCTTAAGGAACAATTTGGTATTAA